AGTTATTACTACAAATTATTTTTTTAATAGAATACTGGAAATGAATTTATTGAACCTCATTTGATAACTTCCATTACCTTAGGTGATATTGTATATAATGAGACCTATCTGTAAAGATTAGGTCTTCATCAGCTCCTGATGAACTTGGTTAGCGATATAAATATATTCATTTTATTTTTGTAACAGAAACAAATGCATTTAACGAACTCCTTTCTTCGCAAAGCCATTTGCCAGGTTTTTCTTTTCTATTTTTGGCAACCTACAAACAATTTGTTTGGTGAATTTCGAGTTGAATAAGTACATAACATAGGTACGATGAACACGAACAAACAAAAATAATTGAACTTTCACCCTGGTCACACAGAAACGTCTGAAAGCGACGACGATTCCTAGCCGGCTCCGCATTTTGTATATCTGGTGACGTCACGCCATATTTCGCTGAACAACTTCTTTGAGGTGGTTTTCTTAACTTTCGGATTAATTTAGAGCATTGATTCGCCAATATTCTTCAAATTACGTGCCCATTTTATTATTCCAGAGTGAAAAATGTTAAAATGGGCTTCTTGTTGTTACTGAGCCGATGGCAATCTCAGGGTTATCAACGTGATACACAGAAAATGAAAAGTTGTGTGTATGGGTTGGTATTTTTGGAAATTTTTTTCTGCGAGAATATCAAATTAGGCAACACCTCCGCTTGAAGAGTTGAAGGTTTTGCAATGGTTTTGGGATCAAAACTTGTCCTTTTCACAAACTTGACGTGTTTTACGTATTCGCGAAAAGTTTTTTCCCTGGAGGTGTTGACTTTTTGCAGGTTTTCGATGGCCCACGCTGAGGTGAGCATAGAGACAACCCTTCAGAGAATGTCCTGTCATTAAACCTCCTTCAATGCAGAACTTACAGATTGCAAACAATATAAAAAAAAGACTCCAAATTGAACAGTCAACATCAGGGTTTCCTTGTTGAGAATATAAGAGCGTTAATCCAACCATTACCACTGATATTGTAGATATGAACAGCGCTACTCATTCTGAGATCATGGACGCTGACCTTCAAAATGTTGGTACCATCTAGCTGCAGAAAGGGAATTCTCATTCGGCGGTAGTTATCAAAGCATTGCCTTTGCCGTGGACTGCCTTTGGAAGACTCTTTCATCTTTGATATTTCGTGGTTTTAATTTTCTTAACTAGAGTTGGTCATTATATATTCAGTAACGTGTTTGATGGTGGGGTGATAGGAAGGAAATTAACAAAAACATTATCATTGTAGCAGACTTCATTCATATGAGTTCTCAGACAGTTCTCTGAAGCAAGTATATTGACCAACATCAACGTGCAATTATAGAGTTTGAATGATTAATCACGAAGATAGAGACACCAGATCCAGACAATGGTCGTACTTCTGTTTCTGAGAACTCTGCATACCCTGCAAGTTTCAATTCCTTGACTAATCCAGTTAGTAAGAATGTATTTATTTGCTTCAAAAACGCAACGAGCTCTATCGAACATTTTCAAAAAAAAAATTATGACTCTGACTTTGGTGTGTGACCTCCACATTTATTTGCAAGTCTACCATTTGTTTGAATCAAATTGATTTCAAATTAATACACATTTGTAGATACAGACCCTGTGATACATACGTCCTTGAAATAAACAGCTTTTCTGTAATAACATTGGACTGTAAATGGTTTGGTAACGATATTGAATGCGTCTTTAAAAAAACAATTCAATATCTCCTCGTTGGTGCCAGTGGTAACGATCGTTTTTTGAATGAATCAACGATTGTCCTCGATAATAAGTAGCAGCAGAACGAATGTCTTCAATATTACGGCACGTCGTAGCAAATTACTACAATTTTATTATACATGTACGCCCTGAAATTAATGGTTTCAGGGGGTATTGTTTTCATGATACGGTAATGGAGCAGCTGTATTATTTCTCAGATCAATTGAAAGGACTAATCGATGAAGGTTTCGCCCAGAAAGGGTGCAAATGACTGACAATTGTACTGGAAAAAAGTGTGGTTGCTTTATTCTGATTGGAAGTGAAAACTTTTTCAAATTTCGAATTAGTAAGTACTTTGAGTTTTCTATGTATATCTATCAATCAATCTATAAGTGATATTACATCCGATTGATCTTGAATCAACATTTAGACAGGTGTTTGAGGTGTACTCCAATATGAATGCTGGAGATACTGCTGCAGCAGTGTTTTGTGACCTTACAAAAAGCTTTTGACTGTGTTGATCATAAAATACTGCTACGAAAACTGAATATCTATGTATGTAGACGGATAACACTATGGTCGTTCAAGTCGTATCTTAATGGTCGCAGTCAGATTGAAAAAACGACCAAATATTCAAACAGTATTGAAATAAATACTGGTGTACCACAGGGATCGGTTCTCGGTCCCATATTGTTCCTGTTTTTACTAACAACACCACTATATTGTGGCATAGTAAAGGTATAAACATACTCAATGAGACAATATCCCAGGATATACCAAAAATTAAGTCTTGGGGTCATTCTAATCTACTCTACCTTGATACTTCTAAAACAAATATTATGAATTTGAATGTTCACTTCAGAATTTATCTGTAGCGAGCGGTATCATTGAGATCAGGGAGTGTACTAAATTTCTGGGACTGTATACAGACGGTGGACTGAAATTTGACACTGACATCAGAATGTTGAAAAGCAAAATTTCCACCGACTGTTATGCAGTGAGAGTTATTGCTAGAGAACTGGGAGTTTATACTGCAAAAACAGCATATCACGCTTTGGTAGAGTCTCAATTAATTTTTAGCAGATATCTGGAATGAAGGGATGAGAAAACGAAGGATACAGCATGCGATGTAGGAGATGAAGATCAATAAGTTTTGTCCTATCCTGGAAGTGAATTCTTTGTAAATTCCATGCACATATGAAAATATTTAGTTTTTATTCTCCTACGCTCTCACTTTCTTGCTTTCATTTCTTCATAATATGGAAGGGAGCTTTTTTGATAGATCTGGGTCAGACTACTTTTCTAGGCCTGCCCCAACTCCATACTAAACACAGGTAACTTTGATAAACAACGTATTGAACAAATAATATTGTAGCCTCAAAGTCGAAGCCTAGTTGCAAATGCAGAACTGAATGTGATATGATATTTTGTGGGTTTGTTTCTTGATACTTGTGATGCACTGTTTGGTACCTATGGTGTAGTAATGAATATTACTGGAGTTTTTCTCAACACCAAACTGTTATTTCAACACCTCGACACGTGTTTCGATCACCTAGTAATCATCTTCAAGAGGAAGATTAAAGTTAAAAATAACGATTTGGTGTTGAGATAAAACTCCAGTAATATCCTTTGTTTCGTGATGTTTATGTCTTTGTTGATTTTATATCTTCAATTCGAGAAACTAAGTTGGGAAACAGGCAGACATCTCAATTTGGTACTTTTATTTTGGTTTTACCATTTTTAGATGGCATCGTGAATGAAAATACTTCAAATCTGGATGTATTTTCTAATGCTGAACAATTTTTCTAAATAACATTTCCCGAGATTTTCCAAAATAAGAGTACTTTACTCTTGTCTCAAAATCAAATATTTGAAGGCTCCTCGTATATCACGTGCGATTTACTATATTTTGTTGGTGCATGTTCAGTTTTACGGGATGCACAAACTTTTATCACGAATAACTTTTTATCGAAAAACCTTTAATAAATAAGTTTCCCATATGGTGCATACTTTGGGGATGACACTGTATATTTCTTAACATGAACACACTAACACTTTATTGTGAGATTTTCATTAAAAAGTTTTAAAGAAATGCAACACGTGTTTCGCCATACAATGGCTTCTTCGGGCATAGTGGAAACACTAGTTACTCCTCATTCTAGAATCAATTTTCAGTATATGAATGAAAAAAATAGTCATGTCATGAATTTGTATTTCAATAAATGACATTGTGTATGAAACTTGAACATTTCTGTTGAAATAACATTCCACGGGTACGAAAAAAACTCACAACTCCTCGTGGGGGTGTGGAAATCTTTTCGAGATAGCGGAATAGAGATTGTAAAAAGCGTATATACTGACAGTAACGATGACCAGTAAAGCTATTCCAAAAACTACACTCAGAAAACTCCCGTCGATGAGCCCGATGTTGGTTGATCTTCTTCCCTCGTGAATATTGACTGTACTTTGTCGCTCACTCATTAATTTCCTCATGTTTTTCAGTCTGTCACGTAGCTCATCCACAGACTCTCCGGAAACTGAAAGAAAAATAACCTAAGTTCTACTTATAGATTTGTAAGTTCATTCGGTTGTGAAATAAGGAAATATTATAGTCCGAAAAATAGTACGTTTGTGTTTGAGCACACACAAAAAAAAATTTTTAATTATACATGCTGTCAAATGGCTTTTCCACGATTCCTATTTGAAAAATTCATCCAGTTATTTGTGAAATTGTCTTCGAAATATCTTATGATGCACTGTTTGGAACCTTTGGTGTAGTAATGAATATTACTGGAGTTTTTTCCCAACACCAAATCGTTATTTTTAACACCTCGACACTTGTTTCGATCACCAAGTGATCATCTTCAAAGAGGAAGAGTAAAACTAGAAACTAATGCGAGCTAACCCTATTTATGCTACACAGGGAAGTTTCTTNTTTTTATATAGCTGAAAATTGTTTTATATAAACATATATTGTAAAATAATAGATAAGGCAAAATTTTAAAATTAATTTAGGTTGGTATTCCTGTATGGTTGGTACGCCTGGATGGTTTACCTGTATGGGTTACCTTTATAGCATAAATAGGGTTAGCTCGCATTAGTTTCTAGTTTCTTCCTCTTTGAAGATGATCACTTGGTGATCGAAACACGTGTCGAGGTGTTAAAAATAACGATTTGGTCTTGGGAAAAAACTCCAGTAATATTCGAAATATCTTACGAAAATCCGAACATATCAATACAAACAAGACCGCCAGAGAAATGCTTTCGGCACTACTCAAACACAATACCTGAATTCAGTCTATAACTAATCCAATACTCCATCTGAGGTAATCACCTATGTTCTACACCATTCTTCAAAGTTTCAACTTCTATAATATTCTATTCCATATCTCTCGAAAGCATCATTACTCAAACCAATTTGCCATTTCACGTCTTCCAGAAATCTTGGCCAGAGGAGTCCGGACAAAAATCGCAGATTCCCCGAGATGAACAAAACTTCCAAAATTCAATACCAATGCAACTGATTTTTAATCCAACAAGAATCTCAACAACAGAAACATAGTTATTACCGAACACCTAGAAATTACCCGGTAAATTCTAGCAGAACAGTCCTCATTATTTAGGAGACTCCTTTCACTACTGACATCCTTCAATATCCAACGAGGAGATGTACTATCCTTTTCATCGATACTTACTCAATTATCATGAATGTTACCAGTTTTCAAAACGCAACATAAACTTCTTCAAGATATTATCAACTTCACCAGTCAATGCATGTCTAGAATATATTTTCTTTCTCAAGAGTGTATATACAAAAGACACCCAGTCCTGGCAAAAAAGTCTCCAGACATTCCTGAACCATATCAACCATAGAGAACTAGGAGTACGTCTTAACAAGTTGTTCAAAAATATTACCAATTTTGTCCCACCTCACAGCATTAAAAATCCACTGACTTTGGTAGAAAACATAAGGAACACCAAACCACGCCACAGGCTGATAGGAACGCTAGAAACTATTTTAGGAACAAATTGTAATACAGATAATGTACTTTCGTTCATAGAAGCTATTCATATCAAAAACATGCTACATATCAAAAATATGCTAGTAAAATACTGTTCGCTAATAACCAAAATGGTTGATGCGATTAAATAAAAAAAAATTAAAAAAAAAAACAATTTTAGTTTCATTCGATGTAAAGAGTATGTTCTTCATCATACCGTACAACGAGTGTAAGCCCCTCATTTTAGACATATTACATCAAGCCAAAGTAGACCATATCACTTCCTTTGAAGTTTCAACAGCTTTAGATGTATGCCTGAATCAGAGCTACCTACAGTTCAACAACAAATTTTAAACAGGATTCAGGTTTACCAATGGGCTCACCCCTTAGTCCACTTCTAGCAGATATATTTATGAACAACTTGGAGACCACTATAGTGAACTCCGACCTCAGGTAAAAAACATATTCATTTTTGGTACAGATATGTAGACGATATTCTTGCTTGTTTCAGAGGTACTAAGCGACAGCTGAACCAATTTATGACATTCATGAACAATATCAATAGCAACATTCAGTTCACACTCGAAACAGAGATAGAGAAACAGATAAATTTCTTAGACCTGGCCATTACACACAATCAGAATAAATTCGAGTTCAATATTTTCAGAAAACCTAGCTATACAGACATCACCATCCCAAGCGATTCTTTCCATCCAGACAGTCATAAATTAGCAGCCTACAACTCAATGTTGCACAGAGCATTCGCACTGCCTTTGTCTGCAGACAATCTAGCTAGGGAAATTGATACAATTACACAGATAGGTCATAATAATGGTTTCAACGCAGATACTATCCAGAAGTTAGTCAGGAAACAAAGCCGGAAATTCACTCACAGATTAATATATCCTCAGGTCAAACAACCAGAAATCAAGAAATGGGTAACGTTAACATATTTTTGAAAGAAAACCGAAATAATCGCAGGTTTCTTCAGAAAAAACAATGTGGAAGTAGCATTCAGACCACATGCCAGGTTATCTCATTTCCTTTTCAATGCCAAAGATAAGGTCGACAAGCTGGGGTTTATAAGCTTAAGTGTCCAGAGTGTAATAGTGTTTATGTGGGACAATGCGGACGAAATTTCCAAAAACGGTATGCTGAACATGAAAGGTCCTTCAGAGTAGGAAAAAATGATTATACGTTTTCAAACCATTCCTTGGCATGCCACCACAAGTTTCCGAATCTAAACGATACGGAAATTCTGCACTATGAAAGGAAGGGTTGCAAACTCAATTATTTAGAATCCTTGGAAATTTACAAGCATAAACATTGCGGGTGCAATCTGTTAATGATCAAATCGATTTAATTTACTCTCCGGTTTTTAAATTGGCACATCCGCATTGTGAACTGTAAATTCAGGTACTCAATCAAGTACCTGAATGGTATATATTGGCGAATGTAATGAATCATTGTTAGTTTATTGTATAAGTTTGAGAATGTCCATATAGGACGAAACTGCAGTATCGTTAGTTACAATTAAAAGTGGTGAAAAACATAGAAATTTTCATTTCTCTTTCCATTATGATCTCCTACCACGTAGTAACGGCTACATCCATCAATGTATTACCGTTTGTTTGTTTTTTATGCGGTGTTTGCTATGCGTTTGTTGATGGTATATGCACTTTGTATGAAACCCTTCCTTTGACTTTTTCCATACAGCCTGTACTGTCTCAAGGAAATACAATCATATTATCATTATTATCCCGTATACGTAGATTAAAAACCGAAGCGACTGGAATATTTTCCACCACTAATCGCACTGGCCTAATGTGTAATACCTTAGCATTGCATACAGTCGACACAAAACGCGCATTTTACCACGACATACTTATGGATTCTCTTGACATTTCATCAGAGCGTGTTTGGTGACCGAACAATATTTACATAAAGCTAATTAAAGTGTCTTACGGTTCTCCATGTCTCGTCGTGGACACTATAACAGGCATTTATTGATTTCGTTCAACGGGATTGTAAGTTGAGACTGGAATAACTGGACCAAAATGATGTAACTGGATCGAAATGATTTCCACCCTCGCAATAAGAAAGCATGCGCAAATCACCGCACTTGCTTCGCTCGATCATTCATCTGACAATTTCGCCTAAAAATCTATCAAACGCCCCATAGTTAGTGCTTTCATTGCAGTACCGAAAAACTGAACAAAATTATTAGTGAATTTTTAACTAAATTTTGGTGTAAGTTAAAAGAAAAAATCTATGTTCTCTACTGTGATTTTGCACTTATCGTTGTCGTTTACACCTTTCTCCTCTTTTGTTCGAAACAGAGGATCTAAATGTTCATTGGAGACAAAATTTATTGTTTATATTTCGATGTTAATCTATGTTTTGGTGTAATCATTGCAACTCGGAGGGATGGCTAGAGGTGTTTGATGTCTAAGTAGTGCCAAAGTGTTAGATGTTATATTTGTTGTGGAATAGTAGAGAATCGAAAAAATCGGACCCGGTGAAGAAGCTGTGAAGACGATTCTGAAGCGTACCTCTGTCGAGAAGTCTATATCGATTGAGAGACAATAGAGTGGTTGCACAAAGACACCAATGTATATCACAACTGCAGGTTTATTAAATATGCGTTCAATTCCTAACATCAGATGTAAGTAAGCATCTCCAGTAGGTACCGTTGAAGTTTGTCGCGCGCGAGTGTACATATAAAGATGTTATTGATCTCCTTCAGGATGCTGGGGCCTAGCCACGTGTTTATGTCCCTCTGTTCTTGTAGAATCTTTCAGTTAGCCTTTATTTTCCACTACTATTGATCTGTAATGGAGTAACGAAGCTGCCCCCAATGTTGAAGATTCCCGCACGTTTTAAACAATGTGACCTCAGTGTATCCCTTGCGTTTGATTATTGTGACTGCATTGTCAACATGGGTACAAGGGCTGCTGCATGTAAGCGACTTTTACCTTCTATGTTTACACTTCCATTCATTGTTGTTACTTGTGTTCTATGTTGCTTTTATCAGTGTCGGCCAAAACCAAAATTACCGTACAAAAAACCAGATGGGGGTGAGTTTTTTCGACTAGACAAAGAACTTTTGGACACGTTGAAACGATTTCAGATAAAAATTAAAAAGTTAAGAGAAGATTGACTTTCAGCGAGACACACTAGTTTCATAGCGTGCAAAAATAATCATCGGGAAATTGTTAATAGTGCCTCAAAATTGTATTCAGTTTGAAATTAATAAGGCTCTGATTTTTTAGATTTGTTAATCCGGTAATTCGAAAAAGAATGCTACTCAGTTTCCTCATTTGTACTTGATGTTGATAACTTATTTTGAACGGATAATGAAGGTAGGTTAAAATTATTTATTGGTGTAAAGCATGTTATATGCTGTGTTTTCGATTAATCGGGTTTTACAAATTAGTGCACTATTTGGTGATAATTTCTATTGAAGAAGTGTGACTAAAGAGTGAAAGAATAAGAGAAGTTCTGTTCACACCTAAAAACATTATGACAGTCTGAAAAATACTGGAATTTTCATGTTATCATCCTATTATACATGAGCGGAATTCACTAATAACACGTGATTTTCCAGAAAAGCACTCATTCCCACATGATTTGCCACTGAACACCATTGCATATTGCATGTAATAAACAGGGTGTATCTTAACGATATCATTAATTTCAGGTGGTGATTACGTGTCATATTTTATAAGAAAAGTTCATGTGAATGAGCGGTGGAGGGTATATTAGACCCTTCACCGCAACCCGCATGGGTTTATTGTGGCTCACACCTATTCATACTCGACCAGCTTCTTAACGAAGACGATTAGTTTGTATGGTGAGTGGTCTTTTAGGTCAGATGGTAAGAGAACGGCTCTGCCGAACTCTAAAAACCTGATTCGGTGCCCAGCGGGGCAGGCACAAAGTATGTGCTCTGCTGTTTCATCATTTTCCAAACAGAGGCGACACACACTGTCTTCCGACAGTCCGAGTCACTGCATTGCTTGATTCAAATGACAGTGACCTGTGAGAAGGCCTGGTAGACATTGTAGTTCATCCCTACTGTAGTCCAATAACTGTTTAGTATCAAGCTTTGTAGGGTGAATAAACGCGGAGTGAGCCAAGCCTGGAAGATTCTGTCAGAATCTTCTAGGCTTGGCTAACTGCTCTTGATATTTCCTTTTCCTGGAGGATCCAGTCCTTTCTACTCGGGAACAGTACTTTATAAAGCAGTTCGTAGTTGACAGTTGAAGGCATAAAGTCAGAGGTGACTTCCAGTGTCAACCAACAGTCTGTTGCAATCTGCTTTAAATTGATTTGTGCAATTGGCAATGTGCACAACTCTATATGCAGTCCATCTAGCCTCTCTCTCCAGAAGAAAGTGGAGAGGATGTAGATCTAGAAGGATCTCCATGGCCGCTTACGGTGGGGTACTGATGGTGCCATTGATGGCTATACAAGCCTGCCTCTGTAAGCCAGAGAGCTACGCCTGGGCCGTTTTCTGTAAAGCCTTCGACCACCAGGCAATTGCCTCATAAGTGATCATTGGTCTGACAATCATCACACAAATCCAATGGATTTGTTTGGGACCTAAACCCCAAATTTCCTTCGACATGTCTCTAGGGACAGTCTGGCTCTGTGTAAAACTTTTTACAAGTGAGCGTTCCAGGTGAATCTTTTATCAAGGACAATGCCAAGATATTCCAACCTCCGTTCCAAATGGAATGACCTCACCATTGAGGGAACAACTGTGAACAACGTCCAGCGTGTTTTGGAGGATATTACGACACGGGACACCTCCTTATATCAGTGTGATCGCTCGTGATTATCGTACTGATACCTAGATCTCCAGACTTGAACCCTCTGGAATATCTCGTTCGTGTCGATGAAAATGACTGGAGAAATAGAATAATATATAATTCTAATGGCATACGCAATACCTCAGGAAGTTTTTAAAGTGTGCGGCACTCGATGAGGAGAAGACTTGATGCTTCTATTGCAAGTCAACTAGCAGTTTGAATACGTTTTCCATCTACTATCCAAACATATTTTCATTTCAAAGTTTGTTCAATTGGCGACGAATATCACATTTTTGGACTTGAATAATGCGCAATCCCCATTTCTACGCCACTGACTCTGACTTGATGAATGTAAACCAATTCAAATGATATCAATCTTGGCGAGTACAGTGGCGTAGAATGATTTTCACCATTACTATCAATAAAGTCACCCCTTTGCGACGCCACTGGAATCAAAATTCCCAATCTGATTTCACGAAAAAAAAGGCCCATGTTACTCATAACAAACACACGTAGTTAAATCAAAATCGTCGAAAATAATTGTGGATTATTAATAAAAAAACAATATTTTTGGTAAAACTGTGTCACCCTGTTACTTGAAAACGAAGCAAGTCAGAACACACGTTAGCATGAACTTTTTTCCATGAAATATGAAAGTAATCACCTCCTGAAATTAATGACAACATTAAAGACACACCTTGTATAAAAAATATTCTTTTCTTTTTATTGCAATAATATTTCTGAGAATTTAGTGCCTACTATTATGAAATTGTACTATATTTGTAACAAGATGGTGACAGCTGTGACAGAAATATCTAAGTAACGACAAATATCTAAAAAGAAATGGGATTCATAGAATAACTACTAAGATTTCGTGATCTGTTCCATTTGAAATGTCGTCTAATGAAAGTAAACAAGATGATCCTGAGAACCTCCGTTAATATTTTCTTTCAAAATTTTTATTATAGTTTAGACCGATAAATTAAAACAATTTAACAGATAATTTGAAACTATGAAAACGAATCAATCAGTAAGCCTTGGTCCAAACACTTCGTATATAACATATATCTTGAATTTTGTATAACCACGCATTTTTGAAGGTATCATATTTTATGAATGATGATTTTTCAAATCCAAATTCAGTATACACTAGTATTTCTATCACTTTCTTGGTTGTTGTCGATAAATTCTACAATGACAATATTATTAAGGTTATGCAAATCTGTACCCAGTAATGAATGAGGATATGTATCGGTGCTACTAGTATTGAAACAAGTAATTATTCAAGATAGTTTGGTAATTTATTTGGAGGTTGAAGGTTCATAAATATTCAAATGAGAAACTTTATGTGATTCCATTATTTTCCATAATTTGTGTTTTGAATTTTCACAAAGAGTAGACTGGGGAAATACCTTTAAAATATACACGGGCAACCATAATTCAGGTCAACTCCTTATAATTCTGTTGTCACTGAATGTGTCCATGCTAAAACGGATCGGCATGGGAAAATTGGAAACCAAAGTCGGTTAAACTGAGAAAAAGTTCATATGAAATCGGAAAATAATTGGTTTCAACATATTAAACACTTTTTAAAATATTTCATCAACTTAAACTTAGCACAAATCATTCAGAAAACTAGAAGAATTATCAAGCAAAAAAGTAGTTTTCACCACAAATTAAAAGAAGAATTAATTATACAATGAGTTACAATTAATTAAAAAAAGATATCGGGCAATTACTCAACATTTTCGAAGGCGGAGGAATAATAATAATTCAATGTATTTATAATAACTGATTTTATTGTTGATACATGAAATTATTAAACAATAAAAATTAATTGATTCCAGTGGCGCATTTGCTTTTTCATCTGCAGGAAAACCCGGAAAAACCTGCAGCACCACATAATCTGAAGATCTTGAACTGCCAATGTTCTCTCTCTCATAAAAAAAAATGTAGGGTATCTCCAGATGCTCCAATAAATTCGATACATCGCCAGAACACTTCGTGACACGACTATCGTCAAACTTAAACCAGTCCGTTTTTGACCAAGGCATAATAACGACCAAATTCAACGCCAGAACCACAGTGAACAGTGACTGCATGAATATTATAATAGTGGTCTGCTAGATTGAAGTTTTCATCTATTTCGAACATTCGTAAGAGTTTGGTGCTTCCGTCAGAGGTTGGTCATGTTTGAAGATCATCAGCGTTATTATTAGATTGACTGGTGCCTCAGTATACTTGTTTCCTTATAACAGTCAGTTAGTTTGGCGCATGTTTGGCAATACAGTCGATTATTACTTGTTAAAAAGTTCCATTTTCAGATGATTTTACAATAAGCTTTGCACGGACTGGTTTTTAGTCATATTGGGAAACGCTAGTTGAAGTTCCAGAAATTCACATTCGTTTTTGCTACCTCTTGAACATTTACTACAAAGTAAACAAGTGAGGATTTTTCCAGCACAAGATTTTCAAACAAAAGAAGAGATAGACTATACGGGATCATTCAATCCAGAGCGGTCAGGAGTATTGATTTTGCTATTGTTTTGCTCACGAAGAGTATTCAACAAGAACCCCAAGAATTCGGAACAATCCTCTTGTTGTCCTAACAAGAAACACACTATAGTTGATATTGTAGGGTATTCCATTGGATAACCACTGGATAAGAGGATCAAAAAAAGTATTGATATATTAAAAGAGAGTCGGAAAATAATAAATGAAAATCAAGGCAGATAGGAAAATGGGTATAATAACAAAATTGGGTTTAATAACAGTTTGGATCTATCGCATAAAGAAAAAGTTAATTGGGTTAACGAACATATTATATTTGCAAATTAGAGATGTGTAACACAAAATTGAAGGAAATTTCGGTTTATATGTTGTGGGAGTTGCAAGATTTTTCCTGACAGAGACTACACATTTGAAAATATACAGTGCTGGGACCAACAACAGTTTCATTTTTATGAAAATTGGTTTATAACTACGAATAATTGTGTTGACTATGTGATAATTGCACAATTCTACTGTTGTACAATATTTCTACAACATTTTTAACAAATTTGAGAAGAATAACACAAAATTTGAGGAAAATTGGGACATTTCGGGTTATTTGTGTGAATTATGTGAGAAATTCGTGATTCTACTCTAGTCTATGTACTTCTACAACATTTGTAATGAATTTGAGTAGAATATCAGGAAATCAAAAAAAAATGGAAAATTTCGTAGTTTTTGGGTTATTTGTGCCAATGATGCAAGAAATAGGTGACTCTACTCTAGTTTATGTGTTTGTAAAATATTTGTAACGAATTGGAGAAGAATATAACATAGTTGAAGAAAATTTGGGCAGTTTCCATCCTTTAATAAAGTTCATCGAGGAAGAAGGGCTTTACAGATAGGTATTCACAAGGAGGATTGAAACAGAGGCACTAGGATCTCTGAAGCTCCGAGCTGAAGAGATACAATTTTCGTGGGAGGTTCAGTTTCTGGATTGATTCCAGACTTACCTGCAACCAACATTTCGCCTTTCTTCAAAAAACGGTGGAACTAGCACCAGACCTACCAGAGGAAAGACACTGAGGCTAAAACGAAACATGATGTACTCATAATTAACAGTGCACAGCTGTGGTTGAACCTATGATGTGTAACGCATCGTTGGTTTGGTGGTCAAAACAATAGCGACCACTATTATAAACTAAGCAAAGATTTGTTTCAAATGCAACTGAGACACTCATCTTCAGTGGCGTGGTAAAAGTACTCTTCTTGACGTGTCAACTGAAACTGAAGCTCTTTGGTGGATATGTTCTCTCTTCCTTTTTGTTGAAGTTATCTTGGTATTTGCTACGAATGCTTCTTTTCTTCTAACCGATATAGACTTTATCACAGTTACGTGGAATCGTGTGAACTCCCGCTGATTTGAGTGTGTCTCTGCTGTCTTTTGCTGATCTCAGATACTCCAATATTGTCTTCGTTGGGTTGAAGATGGGGTTAATTTTCTCCATTTCAGCAGTTCGTTTGTAACACAGTTGTTTGGTGTTTTATTTGGTCTTCGACGTACCTTTCTTCAATTATTCTCAAAGCTTTCTCCACTAGGGTGTTGATGACGGTTCGTTTCTGTTCTGGATGATGGTTGGATCCATTATGTAGGTATCGATCTGTATGTGGTTTCTTCCTGTACATCACTTTATAACCTAGTTGAGTACCTTCTTCTTCTTCTTCTAATTCCATGGGGAACTGGATTTTTGGATGAAAGCAGGAAGTTGTGAAGTTCTTCTTCTCAATTACTCTAAACAACGAACGTGTCATCTACATACCAGTGCTTCGGTGGTTTCTCTGAGGTATGAATGGCTCTTTCTTCAAATTTTTGGATGAAAGCAGGAAGTTGTGAAGTTCTTCTTTTCCATTACTCCAAACAACGAACGTGTCATCTACATACCAGTGCTTCGGTGGTTTCTCTGAGGTTTGAATGGCTCTTTCTTCAAATTTTTCCATGTAGAAATTCGCCACTACTAAGCTAAGTGGACTGCCTATGGCGATTCCATCAACTTGTCCATAAAAGGTTTCATTCCATTGAAAATAAGTTGTCTTTAGTGAATGTCGAAATAAGTTGACATCTTGTGAAAAGATCTCTCTATGTAGAGTGGTACATTTGTGAATGAGGATACGATATCGAAGCTATCTAGAATGTTTTTTGCCTCCAAGGTGATACCTTTCAAATCTCTGAAGAAGTCAGTGAAGTCTTGGACGTACGTCTTAGTCTTCCCAACATGTTTTTGCAGCATATCCGACAAATGGTTTTCAAGATTGGTGGTCCTGGGGCACTTGATATCGGTCTCTTTGTGAATTTTCAGTCATCCATACTTTCTTCGTTGTCTCTGGTGGTTATGAAGATTCTTTCATCAGTTGATTAGTCTTTCTCAAAATGTTCTGTGTTGGATCTTTTTGTAAGCTTCTGCACGTTTCTTGGCTGACAAGCTTATTGAGTTTGCTTTTGTAGTCCGAAGTGTACAAGACTACTGTTGCGTTTCCTTCGTCAGAAGGCAGAATGATGATATTTGGGGGCGTTTTCACCTCTTGAAATGTTGCATGTTGCACGTCAAGAAGAGTACTTCGACTGGAGATGACTGCCGCAGTTGCAGTTGAACGGTTTGAGGATTGTTATCAGAGAAGACCACAGCATACCTGGAAACCAACCAAAACATTGACCCCAGCCGTGGAAGCCTACATTTCTATATTAGGCAAAGATTTCTTTGTTTTGGAATGATGGTAGTAATGAAAACCACTCCAACAGCAGTAGAATGTCGACAACAGAAGAAGAAGGCAAAAAAAGCTGACACGGATAATTAACTTCAGAACTAGCTGTGAGTGTTCCATGAACATATGGGACTATATCAGGAAATGAAATAGAGGTCAGGAAATGGAGGTCACCAAATGTCTTGATGAGAAATATACAGAGTACTGCGAAAGTATACCTAGGAACACACAGGAAAACCTTTATGAAGTCATGAAGCGACGCCTGAGGAAGAAACCTGTTCGACAATGACAAATAATGATCACTCTTATGAAAAACTAGTAGAAGTAGAACTACAATGTAACTCAATACTTATCTTGTTATTGGAGAGGCTGCTTAAATACATTATTGCCAAGATATGGCTCAAAAATACTTGAAATTCGCATGGAAGACAATTTTTCAGCTGTTTCATTTCAATGGAAAATCTGAAAGCAACAATTGAACCAGTCTTCATTATGTGAATACCTATACCTAGACCTGTTCTTGAACACAGCATACCTTGAGATGATGTTTAATTGCATGTTAGGTGAGTGGCATACGATGATTCTCGAATATTAAATTTTTGGTTTTGGTCGGTGCTCCCTTTTCATGAATTTAATCCCTTATTTAGTTACAGCCAAAATTCGCAGCCTCTATGACTATCAACTACGGCTTATGCAAGGAGTTATGCCCCCTCCCTCTGGGGATGACATAGCAAACACAATCAAATACTTCTCACAAACTCTTCTAAGTAAACATAAACTTTGTTTTGTTCTCCACGCTGAACTAACAGAATTTTTTTAGCTGTCCTCAAAGACGTACCTAACTCGCCCTTCGATCTCTTGAAAAACCCAGAAATGGACGCAGTAAGGATGGGTCTCTTTCCCAGTCTAGATTATAAAGGTCTCTATAATTCTATCATTCCTCTCATTGAAGTTGCACCTCTTATCACGAATGGAATTTTTCGTGAGTTGAAAATTGCTAACGGTCAAAATAGATTTTCGGTTTTTGCGCATCTAAACAGTAACTTCCAGTAACAAACTTCATATACAATATTTCTTCAATTATAAATATTGATTTTAATACTTACATCTCAGAAGTTTCAATTTGCTCTAATATTATGGAAAAAATATCTGTATTACAGACTGAAATATAAATGAAAAAGAAATCAGAATGCCATTCTTAGTCTTCCTCACTTGAATCAGAATTTGTTTGATTCTGTACATATGAACAAGAAGCTGGATGAACTCCAAGATTTATAATGTTGTCTAGCATTATATGTATAGAGCTTGAGTATCTAAACTATTCCTTTTTACAATAGCTATCAACTTTTTATAATCACACACTTTTTAAACTTCAAAAAATAAATATCTAATCAGTCGTATACATTCTGAAAACCTAGTTTGACCAAAACGGTACCATAACTATGAGATACTTCCTAACTAAAGATATATTTTTCAGCTTTTGGTCAGTCGATTCTTCAATGTTTAGGATGTCTTCTACCGTTTTTGGAACACGATTTGATTGATAATTTACCCTATCTGGCTGCGTCTTCCATATCAGTTCTCCCTAATAATTTACATCAAGAGATCATAAATACTTTATGTTTTTACATTTTACCTTTTACCATAAGTAAGTAATATTTAAAGTTGAACTAACCCAATTACTCATTAACCTTCTTTAAATTCCGATGCTCACAACTTCAGTAAAAGGCTTAGATTGTTAATAAATTCATAATGAACAAAAAAGACTTGAAGCATATTTGTCATAACTGCAATAGTTTAAAAGTTATCATAATTATATAATTATAAAAGCGAAGTAAAGAGCTAAATCGAGTACATGTGAACCAGACTATACGATTCTGTCAGTTTTATACAGTTACTAATTGCGAGTAATGTTATTTTTGATACTCCATCGTGCTCCAACGCTTCTCTTCTATTCTTCGTAACAATCCTATTGATTTCAGCCAGACACACTGAGCGTGATCACGATATTTGTCAATCTGTTTCCGCTGTTATAATGATGGTGTTCCAATACTCTACCAATCCTGCACATCACTGCCAACTCTTGGAATGCCTTATGACCCTCAAGCAAAATATTTTGAAAGACGTGTTAAGCGTGATAGCGTATGGAACTTCAACGGCTCGTTCCTCAGCAGCGAAACTCTTATTCTACTATTGGCCAACCTTCAATGCCAACTTATTTGACCGAAAGAATCTCATTTGTAAAATTGCAGGTAAGAATTGTATCTTTTTAACCTCCCTGCGATTTGCATTTATCTGAAATACTTATTTCTTGCGTCTATTTTCAGATCCCACTCCTTTTGTTTGCCAGAGAGACTCTTGCCCGAATACAGGAAATGCCGAAGCAGCAAAAGTTTGTTATGATCATTCTATTTCAATAACCTTCGCGAGCGACACGCCTCCTCCGTTATACCTTTGCATTGAATGCGCGAATGAAATTCATCGAGAACATCCGAACCAAATGTTTTTCGATATTTTGCATCCAATGCAACAAGTCTCTATGGTTTGTGAAAATAAGGTACTCAAAGTTTCATTATCATTTTTCTGAATACTTGATGTTTTTATTATTAGGTTGTTTCAAAACTTTTGTCCGTTCGAATAATAATAATGAGGGGTTCATCATGGCTTTCAGGATAGTGTCTTTAGTCTACCGCAGTCGCGTGATGGGTATAGAGGTTCACGACACAAGGTGCAGGGCCTGCCGCGAGGCGCCCGAGACCCTAATGCACTTGCTATCAGCATGTCCAGCATATGCGGTATCGCCCTACATCCATCGATCTGCAAGCTTATGCAGATGACCTTGTCATCCTGGCAAGGTCCACGTCGGGAAGGGAAGCTTGTAATATCCTCAACAGCGCGGACGTTGTTCACAGTTGGTGCCTGAGGGAGCAGATGTCTGTCAACCCCAGCAAAACTCTGTTAATCCCCTTCACCAAGAGAAGAAAATTGGACGATTCAACGCCACTTTCCCTCAATGGTGTGGTCATTCCATTTGGAACGGAGGTGAAATATCTTGGCATTGTCCTTGATAAAAGACTCACCTGGAACGCTCACTTGAAAGAAGTTTTACCCAAAGCCAGACTGTCTCTATGGACATGTCGAAGGATTTGTGGTAAAACTTGGGGTTTAGGTCCCAAACAAATCCATTGGATTTATGTGTTGATTGTCAGACCAATGATCACTTATGGTGCAATTGCTTGGTGGCCAAAGGCTTTACAGAAAACGGCCCAAGCGAAGCTCTCTGGCTTACAGAGTCAGGCTTGTCTGGCTATCAGTGGTGCCATCAGTACCACACCGTCAGCGGCCATGGAGATCCTTCTAGATCTACATCCTCTCCACATTCTTCTGGAGAGAGAGGTTAGATGGACTACATACAGACTTGTGCAGATTGCCAATTGCACAAATCAATTCAATGCAGAGTGCAACAGATTTTTGGTAGACATTGGAAGTCACAGCATTCTGGAAATGACCTCTGACTTTATGCTTCCAACTGTCAACTACGAACTGTCTTGTTAAGTACTATTCCCGAGTAGAGAGGACTGGATCCTCCGGGAGAAGGAAATATTAAGAGCAGATAGTTGTTGGTTCACAGATGGATCAAAAACATTTTCAGGTTCTGGTGCAGGTGTTTTCAGTCGCAGACCCAGGACAGAGTTATCTACCTGCCTAGAAACTTATGCGACTGTATTTCAAGCGAAAATTTACGCTTTTGCATTGTGTGCGGAGAGATTGGATAAATCCAACCTCACACACAAGTCAATAAAAATATTCTCGGACAATCAAGCGGCGTTGGAAGCTCTTGGTTTCTATCGAGCAACGTCTTAATTGGCAGCAAACTGCCAAAAACGACTCTCCTCGATAGGAAGACTTAACAGATTGTCTCCGGTCTGGATTCCTGGCAAAACTGGCCTGGAAGGCAATGAAGCTGCTGACTCTCTTGCAAAGGAGGGTGCTGCAAGCGGCTTCATTGGACCAGAACCTGTCATTGGCATCGCTTTGGGCTTTGTCAAACAAACACTGAACACCTGGATGGACTTCTGGCAGAATCTTCCAGGATTGGCTCACTCCAAGGCGTTTATTCACCCTTCGAAGCTTGATTCCAACAGTTGTTGGACTATAGTAGGGATGAACTACGATGTCTAACAAGCCTTCTTACAGGTCACTGTCATTTGAATCATCATATGCAGAGACTTGGACTGTCGGAAGACAGTGTGTGTCGCCTCTGTCTGGAAAATGATGAAACAGCAGAGCATTTACTTTGTGCCTACCCCGCTGGAAACCGAATCAGGTTCTTTGAGTTCAGCAGATCCGTACCCTCACCATCTGACCTGAAAGACCACTCACCATACAAACTAATCGGCTTGGTTAAGAAGCTGGGTTTATTTGGTCGAGTGTGAATAGGTGTGAGCCACAATAAACCCGTGTGGGTTGCGGTGGAGGATCGAATAGACTCACTCACTTTAGACCTACCTACCTACCTACATCCATCGACATAACGCGGCCCTTAGTGTGCTATATTACCATCTGCGGAACTCTTACGGTATTGACGAGACACCGGTGTTGTCCTACGCTCCGGGGGATATCGCGAAGCTAACGCTATTTATGCTATATAGATATTCCCTACAGGTGAACCTGTATACAGGTATACTACCGTACTTTAATTTAACAATTTTGCCTTATCTATTATTTTACAATATATGTTTAACTGTTATAGCTGTATATAAAACAATTTTCAGCTATATAAAAATTAATTTCACAATATTGCCTATCTAAATTTATTTTTGCAATGTGTCCTTATGTAGTAATCAGTTAACCCAACAACATTATTTTATTTTAACAAGCTATATATTATGTCATCGTTATTCATAATATTATTGTGTTTACTTATTTCTACACTCTCATAGGCATCTAGTTGCCTGTTGTTGTTAACTGCTCTAATTAACCATAGTGAACTGAAGTCTATGGAATGGTTTTGTTGCAAAATATGATCGGGGACGGTGTCAGGTAGAAGGTTGCTTTTATGAACACTAGGAAGGAACGGCCATGGGAAACCCCTTGTCCCCCTACGTGGCAGACCTGTTCATGAGCAGATTCGAAATGGAAAAGCCGAAAATGAAAAGTCTAAGTATTTTCCTAGGATTTGGCTAAGGTATGTGGATGATATTTTTGCGATATTCGATACCAAAAAATCGAATTTTGAGGACTTTGTTTCCTTTTTAAATAATAGATGTCCATCAATAAAATTCATGTATGAGTTAGAAAATAAGAGACAACTACCATTTCTTGACGTTTTGGTAATGAGGAGCCAATATTTAGAAAAGAAACAAGCACGTACAGGTATATTCCTGACAGTTTACATCATTGTGGACAGCACAAACGTGCTGGGTTGAATTCTTTAGTGCATCGTCTTTTGACTTTCCCTCTAACACATAATAGGTTCACAAAAGAAAGACGTCCAATACAGGAAATAGCAGCCACTAACGGTTTCTCGAGGGGTATTGTAGATGACATTATAAGAAAGAAAAAGTTTAGGTTGAGAATGAACGAAATTTCGACTTTCAGAAAGGACAAAAACCAAGATTAAATACATCTCAGTTCCATACCACCAATATACGAAGAACTTTGGAAAGATTTTCAAGGAACCAGGTATGGAGGTGGTTTTTAAAACAAGTCATAGGTACACTATAGAGCCTTTTGGGAAGTCCAAAAGACAAAGTCGAGAATTCGGATAAGTCTGGAATTTACGAAATTACATGTAAGGACTGCGATGCAAATTATTATGGACAGACAAAAAGATCTATTAAAGTAAGATATAAGGAACAAATAGCACACTTAAAATATGACAGACCAGAAAAATCAGCAGTCGCCCACTATATTTTGCAACAAAATCATTCCATAGACTTCAGTTCACTAAGATTAGTTAGACAAGTTAACAACAACAGGCAACTAGATGCCTATGAGAGTGTGGAAATAAGTAAACACAATAATATTGTGAAAAACGATGACGGACCTATACCAAATAGCATAACTATATAGCTTGTTAAAATAATATTGTTGGGTTTACTGATTACTACATAAGGACACATTGCAAAAATAAATTCAGATAGGCAAAGTGAAATTAATTTTTATATAGCTGAAAATTGTTTTATATTCAGCTATAACAGTTGAACATATAAGGACACATTGCAAAAATAAATTTAGATAGGCAATATTGTGAAATTAATTTTTATATAGCTGAAAATTGTTTTATATTCAGCTATAACATTTAAACATATATTGTAAAATAATAGATAAGGCAAAATTGTAAAATTAATTTAGGGTGGTATACCTGTATGGGTGGTACACCTGTAGGGTTCACCTGCAGGGTATATCTATATAGCATAAATAGCGTTAGCTTCACGATAGTTTCTAGTTTAATCTTCCTCTTGAAGATGATCACTTGGTGATCGAAAAACGTGTCGAGGTGTTAAAAATAGCCATTTGGTGTTGGGAAAAAAAAATTCCAGTAATATTCATATTGGAAAGGTTAAGAAGCTTGAAAAGTGGGTGCCCCACGAATTGAATGACCGAAGAAAATCGTCACGTCACGAATTTACCGTCGAAGTCCTGCCTCACCCAACATACTTCCCAGACCTTTCGCCAACCGACTACCATCTTTTGAAGCACTTCGATTACTTTCTCATCGGTACAACCTTCGCTAAGCAGGACCAGCCAAAAACGACCTGCGTCGACTTCATCGAATCCCGAGCACTCAATTTTTATGCTGACGGAATTAATCGACTTGTGTTACGTTGGCAAAAGTACACTGATTCAAATGTCGCTCATGTCGATTGAACTGAATAAGTATTTTCTGAGATATTATAGTTTGAATTAGAGAAATAAAACCGGATAAAACTTCTGGAACAACCTAATGTAAGAGTGAATCGAATACATTTATATACACTTCAGGGGTCCCGCAGGGCTCAATACTAGGAAGTCTTCATTTTGTCATATTACTGAACGACATTTATGATTATAAAAAAAGAATCGTGCTAGGAATCGCTCTTCAGAAGGCAAGACCTCGTTGATTCCAAGCTCGCACAAGTTTAGACTTCTAAGAGTTGTCGTTCGTAGGCGGCGGCAGCTGGTTATCGGTAAACATATTTCAACAGATTTTTAATAGATTCAAAATTTGTTTTGTATGCTGACGACTTGAAAATAATCCTATCAATAATGAAATCGATACTTTCAACATTAAATTATCTGAACTCAAGGTTCTAACAAAATAACTAATTAACTTACGTGTCTATGCATTATCTCTTCTTATATGCCATATATTGTATATCTTTTTATCTATAATATATATGTGAGGTAAGGTCTAGAGTAGTTTAGATATCTGTAATTGGACTTTGTCTGTATATATTCAGAGTGAATGAAATTATTGCAGAACTGCCGATCCACTGACAAAGCAGCAATATCTATATGTTTCTCAACCGAATGTGCCAGTTATAATGGAAATCATCCTATAAGATACTGTGAACAGTGTCATAACAACAGACACAATAACAGAAGAGGAGGTGATCATATTGTACATAAGAGTTTGCCTCCTACTTGGACCATGGAACCAGAAATGCAGACCTATATGGTTGAAGCCATTGTTAGGTAAAATTTAGGTTTTTGTCTTATCTTGACTCGAGAACTTGATGTTGCTCCCATAAATTACCATATGTGACGTATATCTGTGAAAGTAAATAGGCCACAAGCCTCTCAGCCTGATACTGTAGAGGGTGGTCCCAAAAATACCCGGCCCAACAAAGAAAACACAAACATTTTGGAAAAATATATTTATTTCAACATAATCTCTGCAGATCTATACCCTTTTCCCAGCGAAGTTCAATAAGTTTCATACCGTTTTTAAAATAAGAATGGCGTAATAATGACCAAATTCAACGCCAGAACCACAGTGAACAATGACTGCATGAATATTATAACAGTGGTCTGCTAGGTTGAAATGTTCATCTATTTCGAACCTTCCAAATAGTTTTTTGCTTTTGTTAGAGGTTGAGTCTTGTTTGAAAATCATCTTCCCATGACACCCATCTCAACAATCTTGTGCACTGTACTTGATTATACACGTCCTTTGTTGAATATTTGTTATACTCTTCAGGATATAATTTGGATTGTTCAAGAATTGCTTCCCTCCACAAAACGTGATATGCTTTTTTGCTAAGATCTTCGTTATACAGTTTTATTTTCTAAAGGATTTCTCTAGATGGATAATGTGCAGTGAAAAGTGTAAGGGGACAAAGTTTTCAACTCATGGCTGAAGGGAGAGAAGCAGATTTCGAATTGGTTTTGTCGATTCCTAAGAAATACAGACAGATAACATACTTGAATTCGTGTTATAAGTTGTTTACGAGCATCTTATACACACGAACACTCTCCGCAGTTGACTGAGTATTTGAACGGATATATGAGCAGAGAGGGACAAAGAGTGGGACCGCTGGCTGTAAGAAGAACCTGCTAACTGATAGATGTGTAGCAGGACTGTGTATTTCGGGGCGATTCCCTCAGTCCCCTTCTTCTGAATCAAATTGGTAGACGCTTCAGTTATGGTAATAGTTTGTGTAGATTCGATTTCATGTTCACAATAAATAAAATGGAAAAAAAAATTCGTTAGCTCTCCCTGTACTTCATTGAAGTGTTTCAAGCCACAGTAGTATAGCTCAAAAATCAGCCTTGGAATCACCTTTTGAATTTTATATTTTCATTTTGTTCTGTAGTCTCTTGAAAGAAGCCAAGGTACCTCTAATAGAAACCAAGGAAGAAAAGAAAGAGGGTGAAAGCAAAGAGGGGAAAGACAACCGAGAAGGAAAAGAAGGAAAGAGTCCCGTACCAGCATTGGATAACATAACCGTTGAAGAACGACAACTTCTGGGAAGATACGGAGTGTGGTTATTGGTGGGGAGATGTACTCCATCAGAAAATACCCCTTTAGAAGTTCTTGGGCGCCTGCTTGCTATGATTTTTCATTGGTTTCACATGACAGCTTTATCTTATGACGGTAATGAAATTTGTCGAGCATTTGTGGCAGCAGCCTTATACTTTTGCTTTACTCTTACAGGACAAGAAGAAAGTACCTTAGAGAAATTGAAGAGTGAAATCGTTTGTAACTGGTTGCGAGAAATCAGTCATTCCCATTATGATCTATTTATTTCCTGCCTCCTACCTCATCCTCCTGATTATGCACGGATTGGAGGACACTGGTATTCATGATTGATATGAACGTTTACATATTTCACAAATGATATTTCAGGGACACCTTGTCGTCGAGAACTACTCATTTGAAAGACGGTCTCAATCGACTTTTCTGTCTGGTACCTTATGAAGTGATAACGCAAGAAATTTGGGATTACGTAATGCCTCATTGGATGGAAGCCATAGTGAATGACGTTCCGGAAAAAGAGCTATTTGAATTACGAATAGTACTTAGTAAAATTTTGGATTCTGAGATGGGTCCTCTGGGTTTCAACGCTAAAAAAATGTATCAGTTTGTTGCATATCGTTTTCAAAAGACTAGCGCTAAGGTACAACAACAAGCGTTGCACTGGCTACAGGTGTGTTTGAAGGAATATTTCAAATGAACAGTTATTATTTTGTTTCGCTAGTTCGGACTTCCCATTGCCTACTATATAAAATGATTTGAAATCCCTGAAACAACTAAAAAAGAAGAAATGAAAATGAATAGCTGAAAATAACAATTATATTAACCAAAATAAACCTGAAATGAAATAATAGTGAAATAAAATACAAGTAAAAATAGAACAATT